ATCCATTTGGGATGGATGATGGGTCTCCATTTTGTCTTTTTAGGATTGGAACCTTAAACCCCGCAAGCTGGCTCTGAAAGTGTGCAGCACCAGTTCTGTGGGCTTCCAAATCATCAGTTGACTGCATTTCATAGGCTCAGATCATGTAATTCTTCCCTGCCACCATGACCACACCCCCAACAGATTTCTGATATACATCATGCAGTATTGTGCGTCTGCTTGAAATTGAGTAACAAATTGCCAACTTGGTTCTGTTTCTCCAAGTTGGACATCGGGACTTGACCGGGCTCAGATGTTCAACTTGGACAAAATTTTGCAAACTTGAATTCCCAGGTGTTTTGAAATAACTATTATCAATATTTAATCTTTCACTTGAAATGATTGCAAGTTGCATACGTTGACACTTATCAGTGCAAAGCTGCAGTGCACAATTGCAAAATGTGATTCTTGAATCTGATGGGATCCTGGAAACTTGCATCCAACACTGGTCAGTAATGAAATTAGAGACCAATTTGGGCCTGTGCTTTCTTCAAAGCAGAATAAATTTTTGCTGTTGAGATAAATTTTTCTAGACATGTTGTTAAATGTGTGATCAAAAGTCAGAAGTCTCACGGCACCAGGTTATAGTCCCACAGATTTATTTGAAATAACAAGCTTTCAGAGTGCTGCCCCTTCATCAGGCTTTAATCCAATTGTAGATTTTGTGAAATCCAGAGTGTTCAATCTGGGCAGCTCCTGCCTCCTTCTACCCCCATCTACCAGTAAATTTGCTTCCTACTCCAGTTTCTCAGCTGTGAAATACACTGACCAGTACACAGTATGAAACCTTGATATCTTGATCCAGTTCATCTCTGGTTTGTGTTGTGATAATATGCTAAAATTAGCCTTAGCCAACAAATTCCAGTGGGGCAGGAAGAATAAATCAGTTAGAAACCTGTCCCTCCTAGCAAGCAAATTTACTGGTACAGAAGTGTTAGATCATTTTCGGTGGAGAACGTGAAGCAACGTCTAGGTGACAGATGTAGGAGCACAGTGTGCAAACAAGGAAACTTGTGATGAGAATATCTAATTGCCAATTCTTTCAACATATTAATGGAGGCACTCCTGTCTCCTGTCAGGAATTAATGACCGTGAGATAGACAGAGTTCTTGTTTCCAGTCTGATCTTTTTTTCCCCAAAAGTGAATTTTATTTCCGTGAATGTGGTTCTGTTCTTGATTTGTTGATTATACTGAAATGTGACACCTTCACTGACAGTCAGGATATGTTGCCTCACTTCCCTCAGCTCGAGCCTTCCCAATCTTGTTGCATTACAATATCAGCAATTTCCTTATGCTAAGGAAAGTTACATCCTTCTCCAAGGACTTACTGAATGGAAAGGTGGAAAATTGCTGAAAATTGGAAGAAATATTTTTGGGCATTCACAGGGGTCTAACCAATCAGTGAAGAGAAACTCAGGTTAACAACTCGGGTGCAGGTTCTTTATCAGAACAGATTTTTCTATCAACATTTTCATTCATATTATCCAGGATCATACATATTTTTTTAAAATAGATTCATTTTGATTCCTCCCTACAATAGCCTAGTGATTGCTACTAGCACTTGATGGGTAATGGTACTAGAGGATCTGAGTGAGATTAGTTTCTTAGTGCTGGTCTTGGCTGGTATAACAGAAGAAATATAAGGTTTGGACTTGAGTAACAATTGATCTGCCAAGTCTCCTTCTCCAGTTTGGCAGGTAGAGAGAAATGTTGGCCACGACGCCAAGTGAATGTAAAATGTTCATCGTTATTAAGCCAGTTGACTATGTAACTAGATTACTTGACACAATTTATGTCAAAACATGGGGTAATATCGAGAGTAATAGACACTTGAGGCAAGATGTATAAGACTTTAATCCAATTGTAGATTTTGTGAAATCCAGAGTGTTCAATCTGGGCAGCTCCTGCCTCCTTCTACCCCCATTTGCAACCCAACCCCAGTCAATCAAATCTAGAAACACTGTCAAGTCTATCTTTCTTGTACTTCTATTTTATTTTCTTTTATGTCCTGTTTAATTTCTGTGGGCCTGGAGGATTGGGAAAGACTATCATTAGTGCACTTACCTTGTGGATGACTGACTGAAATCGGACCTCCCAGATCCACCTGAATCAGTGAGTAGAGACCTATGCATTAGTGGAGAGGTGCATCATGCTGCACATTTGCCACTCACCTTGTTGCTAACAAAGACACAAATTTGGTCACCTTTATTGGCTTAGGACCACCACCTTAAATCCATTTTCTTCCTGAAGGGAAGAAGACTTTTTTAAACTTTCTGGGGTTCTCCAGACATTTTGATTTAAAGCGACCTGATGTGAATGTCTTTGTCTTTTTCCACTTTTTTAAAAATTCAAATTATTCCAGAGTTAACCATAACGCATGATCTCATAACACTGCAATCAGTCATTTCTAAAGTTATAAAAAAATTTGCATCCACTTATTGCTTAACAATGTTTTTCTTCTTTTTTATTTTATTCTTTTTATCGTAAAATATCCTAAAGCATTTCACAGCAAAATATCCAAAGTTTTTAAACAAAGGGCCATATGAGATAATATTGGAATGTGTCTAAAACTTTGATTTGAGGTTTTAAGCAATATCTTAAAAGAGGAGAAATAGATGCAGAGACTTAAGGAGGGAATTCTAGAGCTTGAGGCCTGTGAAGCCAAAGGCACGGTGCCAATGATGGAATGAAGGGAAAAGGGGCCATGCAAGAGGCCCAAATTGGAGGAGTGCAAAGATCAGAGGAGTGCAGCCATGCAAGGATTTAAAAACAAGGATAAGAATCTTAAAACTGAGCTGTTGCTCAACCAGAAAATATGTGAGCAGTATTTTTTAGGATCAAGTCAGACAATAGAAAAGACAAATCTAAACTGTTAGTTTTACCATGGGGTTCTCAAACAGCCTGCCATTGAGGTCTGTTAAGGAACAACTGTATAAATCTTTGTGCAGAGTCTTGTTTTTTTTTTAACTGAGGCTTTGAAGAGCATTCCAGAAATGTGTAAACTTTGAAAAGTTGTCAATATAAATCATGAAATGGATCCAAGATAAACGATTTCTTAACATTGCCAGCGTTTCCTGTATTCTGACAGTGTTTTGTTTTTTTTTAAATGTTCTTTGAGCAGAAGTCTCTAGTGATATTGAACAACTAATCTCCACTTCCATTGACTGTCTCAATGTTCTGTATTGTCTCGGATAATCTGATTATCTATCATTATTCAGACAAGTGACCTATACCAACTGTGGAGATATAACGTAACTATTTGGTTGTGTGGACTCTTTTTTTTTCCAGAAAATGAATTGTTGTGTAGTATATTGTAAGGTTGCTCTTTTGGTCTTGGGTTTTGCTGCTGCCTAGTAAAATCATGAAAATAGCACTCTCTCACAAAGATTCGGTGCCGCTGAGTAATGACCTGGCTTTCTTCTGAATCTGCTCTGTTATAGCTGCTTGTCTTCACAGACTCTAATTTTTACTTTCTCCTTCCTGACTTCCATTGAGATTCATGTTGCTCTCACCTTCCTGGTTCCTGTCTCTAAGGGTTGTAGTGATTAGAACCAGAGCCAAGTGGATCTCATTGACTGAGCTTCTTGATTTGAGGGGTTGTTAACCTGGGCCAATCAGGGAGCCCTGGCTGACAGATATAAACAAGGGATTCAGAAGGTCTCCTCAGCCCAGGCACTGGCTTTGAGCTGACTGGTCAGAGCCGTATACGGGTGCACATGTAAATAAAGGATGACTTCATGAATGGATACCAGCTTCTGTGCAGTTATTTAAGGTTCAAATTATTCTTGTTTAAGTCCATCTGCTTCTAGGTTAAGTCATGCTCGTCATGGTCGATAGAAAAATCATTGGGAAATTTGTGCGTCCGGTATTGTTCAGTGGTAGCGTTCTCACCTTGACAGTTAATGTAGGCTTTAGCACATTACCTAGGCTCAGTGCTAAACTGAGACTATGCTCCACTTATGGAGGTGATATCTTTCAAATTTAGATATTGCTCCACCTGTCCTATCAGGTGGGCCACAAGGTTCCATAATGCATTTTGATTAAGAGCTGGAGTGTTCTCCCTGCTATCCCAAACATCAATCAGTCATTAGTTTATTTCTTCTATTTGTACATTCTTGTGAGTGAAATGTAGCTCTCACGTTTCCTCCAGGAATGTTTCATAATTATTTGATTGCCTGCAAAGTGTTTCAAGATGTCCTAAACATTGTGAAAATTGTTATATTAACACTTCTTTTTATAAATGACCCATCACTGGGTGTTCATGTTGTTTAGTATGTGTTTTGATTATGAGGTTGTGGTGTTACTGAGATGGTGATGAAGACACAGCTGGATGGAGGATGGAGGATGGAGGATGGAGGATGGAGGATGGAGGATG